CCACACGTTTTTGTAGCAAAATATTCTCCACTCTCTCTATTTGCATTCACTGAAGATTTGACAATCCGTTGCCAGCACTACCCGTCCCTGTGCACGATAAAATTAGGATATAAGCTATTCTGGTCTTTGGAAATGTCAAAGCGTTGGGACGCTTCTCGCCTACAAATACTTGCTTTCTATACTACAGATTTGACACACGACTCTTTGAACGGATTTAGTTCTACCGTCGGCGTACGTGCGGTCACGCAGGAGATCTCATCGTAGAATTTTGAGCGATTTGTGTTATATGTCTAATAAGATCACATTGTATGATATAGGGAAGAAGTTCTAATTTTATCCCCGGTGATCCGCATCAAATTCTTTCTGCAGCACAAACAGAAGCACAAAATAGTTTGACGAGTTAGTAGAGTATCTGTGCCGTGTTTTCATTTACGAATAAGGCACTCGTAGGACCAGTTAAACTAGGTTTCAAGTGAAATAGTTCTCTATAGAGGAAAGTGTTGGTAGCTCAGTAAGCGTAGATGGTGGTCGTTGGCCTGTTCGCTGAGCCGGGCAATTTGATTGCAAACGTTTCATCACCAATCGAGGTGACATCATTAGTGCGTTATTGTGGAGCGTAGGAGTGCGTAGCGGTGGGTTGGTGGTTGTATGTGTGTGTGCAATCAAAGGTCATCCTCTGCTAGAAGCACGTATATTAACACACGCACAACACAAGACTACCCAACGCACAACCACCAACCCACTGCTACGCACTCCTACGCTCCACAATAACGCACTGGAGGATGTCACCCCAACGGTGATGAAACGTCTGCAATCAAATTGCCGAGCTCAGTGAAATAGTTCTAATTGCCCCAAGTAAACTAACGAAAGACCTGATTAGCGTTCTAGCCTGCATCCAGGAGCCTACCTGTGGATAGCTGAAAGAAAACCTCCAACCCTACCGCCTTCCGTCATCTTGATTCAATTTTACGATCTGACAACCAGAATGCAAGCTTTGAGGTGGTAATGGTAGTGTTATAGTTTCATAGCATTCACTTAGATAACAGAACAAAACAAGAGGTTCCGTTTTACTTAGTAAAATAACTGAGATTTCCCGAATAAGAGAAGACCATTCTCCAATTGCCTTTCGTCGTCAAAGTTTTAGTTTGCTCTTCCACGTTTGTGGAATAGGTAACGCACAAAATCTAATTTCCAGCATTGCCTTAATTTGTGAAATGCCACATCTTTCTCTTCAATGAAATGCTACAGTTCTTTACGGGATCATCAAATATTGAACCATTGGCCACACAGAAACACACCACTCAACTCATACAACCAGGTTTACATTCTGTTCAAAGTGAGCTGATCAATTTTGTTTGCTTCAACGGTTGGGAGTGTTAAAAAAGACAGCGCTGGTAAATAATGCATCGGTAGCCTGAATATCCATCGAGCCAAATTGCGGTTGTAACCTTGTTGTTGATTGCTAAAGGCTGAGGCGAAACCAGTCGACACAATTCAGAAATTATTCACTCAACAAATGCATCTTGGTTGAAGACTGCCACGGACAAATTTCCCCCCTGATTAGTTTTATTCAGATGCATAAACGTTCAGCGTTGCCTTCGATTTTCCCTGATAGATATTTAGCACTGGCGCAACTGACGTACGATGAGTAATTTGAAATCTCCTTTGACAGAGGAATGTTTAGGATTTCGCATATTTCAAGCTGTTCTTGACGTGTGTTTCCTGCACTTGTGTACACCATCACCGGATTTATTCACGAACCTACAAACCATTTTGCCTAAGCTCAGGAGTGAGGCTTGTTTGCCTTTTCATCGACAGAATATGACAGCGTGCTGCTCTTAATGCAAATTAGTTAGTTGAACACCGAGTGACAGTTGCGCTTGACAACGTACCAATTTGTTACCCTGACACAGAATATGGGGTGGTTTGGGAACTGTACTCAGGCACTGAAGGCTAGACGAAACAGGAGTAATACTGTCTTTTAAAACTCCAACTTTATACCCTGTTTCTATGACACAGTCCTTTAGAGTACGGTACAAGAGAATTCTATCAACAAGACAAAATATCCAGAATCGTGCGGAGGAAAGCGAATGCCAAATTGGAGTAATTACTTTGCCGCATAAATGAATGGATTCGTGAACCAATTGAAGTAGTGATGGGTGCTAGGAGTTTGGATTTTATGTTGGTATATTCATATATCTATTTGACTTATTAACAAAGTGACTTAGCCCGTATTTGTTAATCGGCATTCATGGAACACGACTCAGAATATGGACAAATGGCAAACGTCATAAATCGAAAAGTATTTACGGATTTTTCAGTGAGAGCTTTTGCTCTAGCAGTGAGATTGCATGGACCTTCCTGCTATGAAATTCGTAATTCAGTCTGACCATGCCAAACGGCCACTGTTCCTTTTTAATGACCAAGCTCAAGAGCCGGCGACGAATGAACATATTCACTGTGACGATGCACCAGAGTGCTACAGCCCCACATGTACATCAGTAAGTACTCTGTAGCGTTTATTATGTGCATGTCAAAAATTCAACTGTATTCTAGTAACTGTGTTGAGGTGCATTTTTGCCTTCCAGATATAAAAGTCATTCAAGCCTGCTCTTATGAAAGCCATGGTTTGCGGTGATGCATGATATGGAGACTCCATTACTTCAGATGGATTACACGATTTGTGCTTTGAATTCAGGCTGACTCCACATAACAAAATCTCTGATGTGTTGACAACCAATCCACACAGGCTTGGGTACTAATTTCTTATCTGCAAGCCGATTCTGCTGAAAATATAGTTCTGTACACTGTGCAAATGCGCATTTTAAAAAATTGCACCATCAGTGGACCTGTCCATTGAATTGCATAAACAGCGATACGTATGTAGTTTCAGTTTATTCCACTCGCCCATAAACAACTCAGATAATAAAGCATATGTTAAAGTCCCCAGAACAAAATGGTGACTGAGAGGTGGTTGCGTACCATGTGCTAGATGAAGCTTAAAATGCTTACTTGGTCGCACCAATAGATCGGGTGCAATTCTTCAATTCTTCAGACAATTCTTCAGACTCATCAATCAAAGCCCCACCCCAGTATAAAGTGAACAAAATAGGACCGGTCTTAGAGCTCCCAATCTGAAAAAATCTTCTAGCACTACGAAATATGGTTGAATTTATTTTCAGCATTTAGTGGTAACTGGAGAGCCATATTGAGTGCTCCGTGCGTTAAAAGCAGAAGCCACTAACCTACTAAATTTCTGTTCGGTGCTAATTCGAATTGTGAAGAAGGATAAATGAGTGATTTCCGCCAGCATGTTGACCACAGAACTGCTGCTATTAGTTACTTGTTTATGAGCCTTCTACTGCCCATCCTGCAGAGACTTCGATTCGTTGACTCCCCCCCCGTTTTGTCACTTTCTATCCCACCAACATATGACCACTTTGATTTTATGACCAAACCTGTTCGGTATTTTTATAATCGTAATAAAATGGTATGTCTAGGTAAACCGCGAATAGTACAACAGACAAGGCAAACATATTTCTTCTGCTAATTTGAGTTGTCTCAAGTTCGACTATTTAAATGTAAAGGAAGGATTAGACGATCAGTTGGGTGTCAAAATATGCAAGGTTTTCAGATGATATCAATAAACGTAAGTTCCAACGCGTAATGTATTTACTGGCTTCGCAGATTTATCTCAGTTAGTAGTGAATGCAACTTCTCGGTTGGGAGTTACCACAATATTATCTTTCACCGTTTTGACCGACATTCATACCGATCTGAAATGATTATTTTTGTTGGTCCGCATCGAAATGGTGATGCAGCCAACCCGATTTTTTCACGACTATCGTGCATTTCTTTCGTCGAGACGGAATCTGATCACCCGATATGAGACGTGCAATCCATGTGAGGAACCACCCATCCAGATCTGTTAGAACGTTGTCACCTCACTTGGCTAATGTCCTATTAGGGGTACCGACGTTGTTAATTTTAGGCACCACCAATGAGCTCTGACTGTAGCGAAAGCAGGAGCGAGAGCTCATCAAATTTGGTGTAGGTTAGCTGGAATAACTTTGACCTACTTCGCTTGGGTATACCCTGAATCAGACCGCCCATCACAGGGAACTCAAGTTATGATCATCTATAATGCACGACTGCCTTGCCTTGATGAATAATATGGATTAGAGATAATTTCCCGCCCGCTTCATACTTCAGCTGTTGTAAACTGTGATTGAGCCAAATATTTACTGACAAACATTGGGAAAACCACCAACGTTCTCGATTTGGTAGCAGGTTGGAATTGGATTTTCAACCCAGCACAAGTTTCTTGGTCGTATTGCATCAAGCTTTTCTCATTAACTACTGTATCCAAGGTTTTTAACGGACAATAAACGTCGCTCAAACCGCTGAAGAGCCCTTCAGATGTGGTCCTCAACCTCAGAATCATTTTATTTCAGAACGCTGGACATTAACAATTCTATAGTAAGCACCTATATGGGTCGACCAGAAAGTTTATTGCTCCACTTCTCAATGACCTCCAATGTGTCACATCTTGGTTCCGTTGGTTTCAGTGAGAAACATAAGCCAATAGCATCTGTTAGATATTGGGAGGAAGGTAAATGCAAAAACTCAGGAATATGGGTTGAAAGGAAGCCAACAGATGAATAAAACTGCGTGGCTTTATTGGCTTTTTGCATCTTATGGGTCGTGTTAGTGTTTTGAGAAGATTCACACTACTATCTCGGACCATTCTGAGCACATTTCTTCCATAAGTTTGATGCTCAGTGCAAATGACACCAGTGCCAAACCGAAAGTGGATCGGTGCTTTGCTTCACAGAAGTTGAAGACAAAGAACAATTGTCTAAGCCGCAGGCATCAAGCTTTATCTATCCGCGCTTAGCGGGGAACTAAGAGATGAGTATATTTTTAAAATTTCCGGGCCTCGTGATCCCATATTGCATAGTTCAGTTTATCTTGGTTATGTCGCACATGTGGACGGTTCCTCATGAAATTCCTGTCTGTTCTGACGGTCTTGTTGACAAAACATTGTCGATATTACTTTGGTGTTTCCGAACAATAGCTGTACAAACTGAGTTTGGCGTTGACCGTCCAGCATCAATCAGACAGACTGGAAGAAATTCAGGTAAGAAATTGTACCGTATTCGCGAGTCGTCGCAAAAGGCGACTGAATAAGCGAGACAAAAAATGGAACGTTTGCTTTCCGGCCTTGCCACCACGCAAAACAACGATAACTTCTGGTCAATTCGGAAAAAACCTAAAAGGAGAACTTCTGGCATTCCATCCCAATATGGGTGCGTGACTGTTGTACGAATGCGAATTTTATGGTTTCCTGTCGTGCGAACGGTGGACCCCACACCAGTCTAACTTCTGGCTTAATGCAATGCGACTGCAACGAAACTGTCACCATGCTGTAAATCACCAATAATGTTGAGTGCTTTTTTCAGTATCCACAGGTTGGTTTCCACATCGGACTTAATAGTTCATTCACATTAGGTTGAGCGCTTTCCGGTAACTGAGAAGGATATTAACAAGTTTTTTGGAGCGTCAAGCAGCTATCCAACTTCAGTGCAAGAGGCAGTAAAAACATTCATCCTTGAAGATTCTGCGCCTGATTTCCTGCTAGACATGCCACTAAACGTAGGAGTATCACCATATTTTTATGGAATAGTTTAAAAGCAAATGGACTGGGCTGTCGAAGAAGTTCAGCAACCTTATGAGTAGTTTAGTGCGTCTATACACATTTTGCGATATCTTGAATGTCATACCAACTGAAACATGAGGTGGCCTGGTGCAGCAGATACAGTTGCTAAGAAATGTCATAAACGAAGGATTCAGCTGGTTTCCAGGTGAGTCTGTCGCAAAACCGAAGTTGATGGAGATACTTCCTTAAAATGTTGAAAGTTCAGGAAAAATGAAATCCCTCGCAAGGTAAGCAGCATATTTTTTCCATTTAAACCCTCTTCATCCATTTGCTTGCAACTAAACTAAACTTTGCTTAGCGTTCAGGAGAACTTGTCACCATTTTGATGACGTAAAGTTGAATGTTTGTTAGAGTGATGCGCATTTGATGTTTATGCATCGTCGCATTCCTGTAACACAGGACGTTGCCCATTCGAGAGAAAATACGCCTACGTTGGAACGCAATCCCGCCGGTCTCAATGAGTTTTAGGTTGCGGTGAAAGTAGTACGCATCCTTCGCGTTATAATAAATATTTCGCAATTATCGATCGCAATTTGAGGGAATGCAAAACACTGTGGACCAAGCCAACTTAGCCAGTTGTTACACTTTTGACACTGACATATAAATGAAAATAAAATGGCTCAAAAAATTGCACACATTATAAGGCTAACAAGGTCATTCATTTTCGTGACGATAGGTTAGAATTATTTCGAAGAACTTGAATAACCTTCCGTTACCAGCAACAAACTATCAGAAAACCACTTGGCGAGGAAAGAGGCGCTTAAGCGGAATACAGTGGTTTCTGATACACTGAAGTAAGCACCAATCTCTCCATCTGTTTGTCGAATTGTCAAAATATGTGTACTTCTGGTTTGTTTGTTGTTGGTTGATCGTCGGGCTTGTTAATTGGTTTGCGCGCACTAACCATGTCAAACATGACCATTGCAAACAAAGTGCTAAGCTCGGCGAGTAGATCAACTACAATCTGATCAACCATCAGTCTCTATCTGTTTAAATATTTACTTAATACACCAAGCCATATATAGAGGTATGGTCGTATCCAAAAGCAGGGTGGATCATGCATTCGAAATCACACTTGCGAAATAGGCCACCGTCTCACCAAAAAACTACGAGGAAAACTTCAATTGTGGCAGAATGATGTGGATTTTTTGCTGGTCGTTGTGCACGAACATGTGTGGCAACGCCCAAAAGAGCAAGTCGATCCAATTTCTCCAAGAGAACTACACGGATGATACCCATGGATACAAAATAGTTGGAGTTGATACAAATGAAAAAATTCAGATCTCTACACTGTATTGTTAATAGAAGCGGTTTAACAACAGTGGGTGTGTTACGATTAGTTCAATTAGAAAAACATTTTGTGTCCATCGGAATGTCATATCTCCGGATAAGAATTCTCATTCGGCTATTTGGTCGAAGTGAAAGTACAAACAAAATTTGTTAGTTCACGCACGGCACACCGTTTGAAGGAAAATCAATCTTTTTATCAATATTGAAGATTTTTTGTTAATAAAAGTAAAATGTTTGCGGAAAACAGCTGCTTCCTTTCAATCAAAATACCCTCTGAGGTTTTTTAATCGATGGGTGTATTGATTCTCTTTTGCGAACCTGATAAGGTCGATTTCATTTCAGATCTTAATAATTTAGGTATTTCAATTAGTCCTTGAAGATTAATGATTATATACTCAAGATGGCGCTCGTTTTTTCTCGAAAAAATTAATAATCCCCTGAATGAGTCGTGGTAAGTAGGTGTAGACATTCGCTCGTGAAATACATCAACGCTTTAACCAGCTTGTGGCCGTGTAGTTTTTTTCGCAGATCATGTTTTGAACACGACTGGCCGATTGTGTTTTTCGTCTTTGGTTTGAGACCTATTTATACGTGTCAAATATGTTATACTTTCTGGCCCATATTAGTCAGATCCTACGCATTCAGAGATGTAAGACAACTAACGGTCTGAGTTGAGTTGATCGGAGGATCGCAAACCTCGTTACTTTATATACTAACTGCGGTAGTTCGGAGTTCCATGCTTCAACTTTCATGGTAGATTCACATAACAGCCGAACGTATAGTGCCTGAAAAGATCAGATCAGATAATTTAAAATACGATCAATTCAAGAGAGATTTAATAATTGTTCAATAATTGGCTCATATTAGGTGGCACAACTTTAATGGTGTCGTTGATTCAGGCCGTCTATCGCAGTACAGCAGTTACCACCATCCAAGTTGGACTGATCCTCCTAAAGTTGGATCATCTGAGAATGAAAGAAACATTTCCAAATGGTCATTTAATGACGGCTCGCCCCTTTTTCGCAGTAAATTACACTGGTTCTCAGAGGGCATTTGGTTACGGAGTAAACCTCAGCTGATATCCATCTGAAAGACAGCTAAGATTCCCGGAAGAAACATTCTTGTTCAGCTGGTAGTTGAAACAGCGGACAACTATAACAATAGTAGCGTAATAGTACTAACCGTTTTTTTCAAGGGCACTGTTTAAATCAATTTGAAATAGACGTGCAACTTCAATGTGGTGCACAGCGGTTTGTAAACAAATTTTGTACTTTACGTTAGAAAACTCGGGCGTTATTTTAGACAGAACAATTTCAGAAAAAAAAAACCTCAGGGTAGTGTTTAGAATTCAACACTGTTCCAGTTTCGCTCCCAAACAGTTGTTGTTTCTCTTCATCTATTGGATGAATTCCCTATTCGGTTACTTGAATGTTTTGATGACCTCGCTATTTCACAAAGATTTTCCGAATTCGCCTCTTGGCTGAACGCATTGTATGACAACCACCGTGTGGCAAGCGAAGGTCAACGAGTGGGTTGAAGCATAGTGTTGGTTACCAATACATGGTGACAAAAACAACCAGTTGGTTGTGCTCGAGAAAGCTGCTACCCGTGGAGGAGCTGGTGCATCTGGCACGGAAATTGGCCGAGGCACCACTGGCCGTGTTGCAGCCGCAGGAGAACAGGGATGGTTCGACAGTGGACGAATCAGACCAAACTGAACCAACTCCGCAGCGAAGGCCTTTCTCCTTTCACCCGTATTCAATGTCGATGAGAGGATTTAAAAAGAATGAGCACTATGGGCATTGTTAAAGACACACCCTCATTGTGTGTGATGACACGGTCTCTAGAATCTACTCGATAATGATGAGGACGATATTTGCCTTTTCTTATACTCAAGCAGCAACTTGTCCAGTACGGTCAACGTCGACGCTCCTCAGATGGCTTTCTGCCTAAAGTACTTTTGAGAAATGACACGTTCTCATCCACAAGTTTTGGGCCCTTGTTTTGGCTTAAAAACTTTATTCTCTAACAAAAACCGAACTGGGCAAAGCAGTTGTTGTATTTCACCGGTAGAACGTCAAATCTAGATCCGGAGGCATAGGAAAAATCAAACAGAAAAAACGCAACCAGCATATGATAAGCATATGCCTGGATAGCCCAATTCAACGCTCAAATTGCCACACACAGCTAGATAGAGAAGAGGGAAATAGCGAAGTTAGTTTGTAGAGTAGTATTGAATTAGTTTGTGCTTCACCAAATAACTACAGAACGGATTAGCTTTTCGCGACTGGTATCCGATATGGATCCCTTATGAAAATGTCGAGCAACATCACGGGTTCACCCTTGTTGGTAAATTATTTTTGACTGTCAAGACCCGATGAGCCCTAGGTAGCTTCGTGTTTAATATGCGAACTAAGTGACCGCGCCGTGCGAACGCAACCTCCACAACTCGACTTTATCTGTCTGAACTTGAGCAACCTAGTCGCATCTCAGCCCTCGTGCTTCCTCGGGATAATACTACAGCTGCGCACTGCAACAGTTTCACAACCGAACCATTAGTCCCATTATTATTGGAAACGTCTGAGTTTTGAATTGTTCTACATTTACTTGTAACGTTTTGTCAGATTTCACCGTCTGGTACCGAACCTAATTCAAGATGTGTCCGTTCGTCTTATTCGAAGTTTCCCCTCATACCTCAGTTTTGGTTTTACTTTCGCTGACAGACCATTCTGCAACTGCTCATATAGCAGTTATATTTGGATGCATCCTGTTATCATGCCATTCACGTGACCTAACCAGCGCAGGTTGTTATTATCTGAGGGGCTCATGATTCCACACATTTTTGCATCCTGAATAACTTGAGTATTCTGGATCCGATCTGACAAAAGTATGTGCAAAATCCTTCGCCGACATTGGAGATTAAACTAATCGAGGATTCAGATGCGTGGAGAGTAACACTGTACGGTGTAATTTCATGTAATGTCGGCTGCTCGAAACACGTTTCTAAAGCCTTCCAAACCGCGCGTTAACATTTACGAGTTCAAGCCTTTATTGATCACTTAGTCGGTGGTCAGAATTCCTCGATGACAGAAATCTGAACAAAATGCCATCCCGATGATGCCTACTTCTGTATGGGGCATATTTTAGTTTCCCGCAGGTTACTAGGAAACATTCAAGCCGAAAATGGATGCTGAAACACCAATGAAGACTTTATAAGCTGCGATACCACTTCAAGATGAGCCAGTAGAACATAACGGTCGACAAGTGCAACATACAAGGTTTCAATCTGCTGTATCCACTTGGCTAAAAAGTGTTTTGTGTTATGTGACCATCCAGACGATAGCGAGCAGTCACACCACCCTGTGAAATTTGCCAAAGCTCCATGCATGTCGCAGTCTACCACAATTTGAATACAATTGATGCCACAGCACAGTTACTTTCCACTCCCTTGTTGCTGAATGAATCTGCGAACTTATGTCTACTTCAGTTTTGATCCATGATTAAAAAAGCCAAACAAGACTGACGACTTCAAAATTGAGCCACCAAATCAAAGGTCTTCGCAAAGTTAACAAATAGGACATGAAGCAAATGTTTGCACATGCGGCGTTTACAATGCATGTATCTTACTGAGAATATAAAATCACTGGTGCTTTGTACTCTCTGAAACTAAAATCTACACTGTTCCTCTGGAGCGAGTTCCTTCGAAATATCCACATTCATCTGATTCGGTGGGATGCGAACCACGACTTTGGGAGTACCACAAAGTAGACTGGTTTAACCGTAATTGTTGTCCTTCCATCTACTTTCTCTTCGTAGAACATGCGCTGAACATACTCAGCCACGAATGCTGAACAGATCAGTTGGAGAAATTCATACGACGGTCTCTGTTTCCAGTGTCTGAACATTTCAGTAGTTAATCCATCATTTCAACAACCAAGTCTGCCTCTCTAGAGCTTGTGTGGGCTTTTGACCGGCCCGGACCTCTTGCAGAAGTTGCACACAGTGGACCTGCGTTTGTGAAATTCTTCGTGTTCTACAAAAAACGGTGATTAGCGGACAACTGTATTTCTCCACCATGTTTCAATTCGCCATTTATTTCTCAGTTCACGCAAGTGTTCGGTTCAACATTACTTTTCGGCAGCAAAAATTGATCAGTTCTCCAATCGTCTACAGGATGCACCTTTGTTCTCAGAAATAGATGAAGTCAGGATGTTATTTTTTGCAGAAACGAATCCTTGCAAATTTCGCCATGCTATTCGCCTCCAGTGATTTTACTAGGGTTTATCGCGCTCTATTAATCCATCCAGTGTTGGTTCTGACAGCCTGTCTAGTAACACCTCTTGAAATTTCACCAGGAATTTTCCAAACTGACAATATCCGGCCTCGTATATTGTTCTTTCGTTCCACGATGGTGGATTTTTAGTTCGCACCTCCACTGGTATCAAAGAAACACCAGGGGTGGTTTCGGTATCAAGCAATACTTTGTCGTGTAAAAACTCAAGGAATAATATGGTCAGTAGGATGTCATCTACTTTATGGATGAGGCTGTGACTATTGGGGCCCCTCTGAGATTCAAAACAGCGTAGCAGTAATGGTTCCGTCAGAGATACACACAGAAAAAGGTTGTTGGCCACAATTGGCTTCACAGCATCCAGTTTCATTTGTCCTCAGTGTCTTCTTCGAAGCTTCTGATAGATGACTGACTCATGTTTCGAAATTTCAATTGAAAAGGGGTCATCGGCGGGAATTATCTGAACAAATTTTGACGGCTTG